TTAAATTATTACATTTCTTGCATTTGTTAATAAAAAAGAACTAAGACAGTTTACTTTTTCTAACAGCATAATATATTGTTAAGTGATATGCTATGATAAAATTGTTAATTTTATATATGTACTTAAAAATACTGCAAAATATTTTATCACACACAAAGTTCTTTCATTCCCACTCTTATGTAAGTCAGTATTGATTTGTTTATTTCAGAGAAATGTAAAGAAACATCATATCTGCATATACTTTCATTAAAAAGATTTTGTCAATGTATGAAAAACACTTTTATAAAAGTAAAACAAAATGAAAACGTGTATAAGTTGTGTGTACTATTATTGTTTAGTTTATCTTTCGTTAACACTTTGTGTAAAGAATAATCATGCACCTTTACAAACAAGATTAATTTCACACAAATTTCAAATAATTATCACACATTAAATGTAAACTTACAAGTTACAGTGACTATTGTTTTTCAGCTGTAATTAAACATTTTTGTATGTAGTAAATAATTACATAGATAAATTATACAACTAAAAAAAGGTTATATCTCCTTTTATGTGAAAGATTAAGAAATAATAGAAAACAAGTTAAGAATATTAGATCAATGAACTAAGTTTTCTAAATGACTTAGAGTGTTTTCTATTTTCTTTTACATTCAAAAAAGGAGAAATAACTTGTATTTAAATAATACAGTTCTTTTATAAATATGTATAATCTAAACATAATACAAGAAAATTATTGATGTACATTGTATTAACCTTAATTAATCAAGGTTTAATCCTACCTTAAATTTAAACAAGACTATACAAAATTTTGATGTTTTGTTCGAAATGAACGTTACCCACATTTTATGAAAAATTCGACTTATTCATACTTTACATAATTCAAGTTATGTAGCAATTAGCTGGGTATCGTAATATTATTTCTAAATGTACTTACTAGCAGGTTTACCGTCCGTCCATTGTGTAAATTTCACATTTACTTCATCGCGTTTTACGGCTTCTGTCCTCGCTTCGGCTTTTAGGGCTTGCCTAACAAGTCTTGCAGCGATTTGCGAATAATTGATGTAACTACAAAGTATAAATTCAATGAAACATTTTACAAGTTACATAACATCCTTTTAATAATATTAACATGCGCCGATAACAGATCAATTTCAAGACAATTTTCTTACTTTAATCCTGCTTGTCTCCACGCAGCCATTTCTATGCTCAGTTCTCCTTTCAGTTACAGAAAATCTTAATTTGTCCACACTACGGTGAACTGAGACGAATCTACTCTGACTGTAGCGGAGTCACGAAAATGCTTTACACAGTGAAGTTATCTATGGCTGGCACGTTTAAAAATTACGAACATTTCATAGATGCTTCGTATACAAGATTACCGACTCAGTTTCCGTTCAGGATTCTAGATCCCTACCTTCGCGACAATCCTATGGTATGTTCAACTCATTTGATTCGGTCCACATTTAGCCAGTGTATAAAAGGATTTCCGCCTAGGCACTGATTTTCGATTGGCAGAATATGATAATAATATATGTTCGGTCAATGAAAATACCGTATTTTTATCAGATCCGTCCAATCAAAGATCTATATTGAGCCAAGTGCCGTTGGTGCGCTCGTGTGAGTACAGAACGAATCAAACGAATCGAAACCACGCAGCGTAAATTCATAATGGATATCTAGCAGCTGATTACTGACTTCTAGGAAGTTTCTCACAAGATGTCGGGGGGTATTTTGCGTGACAAGCCGCTGGTATGCTTTCGGACGATATGACTTGCTCGTTGTGGTGCATGTCTGCAAAATTCCGGCCTACGTTAAATCCTAGAGTGTTATAACATTGCTGACGCGAAGATTTACAATTTAGACCACGCTTCTGAACGCAAAAACTGAAAAAGCCAGAACTATCTGCAAGAATTGTGTCAGTGCGTGTATTACTGCCAACTCCAATATTTGGAATACTAATTTTTCTTCTGATTACTAGGCAGAATTTTCCTATTACGCAAAAACTCTTTAAATTGAAACAAACACTATTACCATTACTTAACATTGGGATGGGAGCTAAACCAAGTACTGTAGCACAATCTGCTGGAGGCAATGGGCAATCCTCTACTGGAGCAAACGAGACTACCATGCAGAGTTTTTCTATGCTCCGCTCTCTACCTGGAGGTGTTAGCATGTTGCAACATCAACGTCAGCAAGGGAATCAATCTCAGACTTCTCGAGTATCAGGGGACAGTAGGCAACGTGCTCGTTCCTTGAGTTCAGTGCCAGATCTTCCTCCTGTAGATCAAAGTAGTCTTGCTTCTTCTGTCGGTGTCGGAGTTGGTCAAGCACTTGGTCTACCACAACTTGATTCGGATGATGCAGATGAAGACGGTGGAAGAGTTTATGCTGCCCATAGCTTGCCTTCACATATTTGGTCCCTCAACGGTGAGTTTATTGGCTCTTGGTTAAGCACTTACAAAATTTGAATTCATTCATATGTGTTTATACAATACATTAAGCAGTACTTAAGAAACATTATGTTCTGTTATGTTTATAAACATGTAATGTGTGGTATGATGTATATACATGTACATTTACAGACACATACAACATACTTGCTTACACATGGAGACATACATTCAGATATAAAAATCCAAGGCATATATGTGTGTGCATGCATTCACGTACATATATACACGTGCATACACATAAAATATGAAAATTTGTAACAGACATACATTGATTTTTAATATAGTAATATCAGAGATTTTATTATTGATTACATAACAGTATTACATACGTACGTAACGTACGCGTACGTGCGTTCGTGTGTATACGTATGTGTATATGCATATAATAAATTGAAACGTCATTTACGATATATCTTTTCTTTTCTTTTCTTTTCTTTTTTTTGTTTAGATAGAAGAAAAGTAATTCATTAAACGTTTATCCGCGTAAATTGTTTACTATATATCGTATTTTTATTATTATGATAATCGCCAAATGTTTTTAAATTAATTACGTTGATAGGACGTGTTAAGACTACAAGATTAAAAATGTTTCTTGAATCACGCATTCGTTCGAATATAAAACGAAGAAAAGTTAGGTTATGTTGTGATCACGTTTTATTGAAAAGGTTTAAATTAATTGCGAGCAAAACGGCGGACATTTGTTTGGCGCATGTTGTCTGCTAGTTGTCCCGGTAACCACATGTAAATCAATTGTGATCAAACGTAGTTGCGTAAATTTTAAATCACGGTTATAAAAATGTATAAATTTGAATAATGACGTTTTAAGATATAAAAATTATTACTTGGGATGGAAGGGGTCAAGTTGAGTCGATTTTATTATGGGAATTATAATAAGTTCATGCTTAAATGAGTCTGAGACTGAGGTTGTTCCAAGTAATCAAGTGAGAAGAATTTTTTATGGTATTGTTTTTACTGATTTCATACTTTCCTATTTTTTTATTGTTGTAGATTATACTTATAAATAATGTGTTTTACTTTAAAGGTCTAAAGTGTCCTGTTTGCTCCAAATTTATTCTACCGGATGATATAGAATGTCACCTGGTCATGTGCCTGACCAAACCACGTCTTAGTTACAATGGTAAGTTTCTATTTTATAAATATATTGTTCAGTTAAACATATTTTTATAATTGCAATGTTATACGTAATAATATCAAGTTTCAATTAAAAATTAATGCATTATTTTTTATATCATTTTGCAGAAGATGTATTATCTGATGAGAAAGGAGAATGTGTTATCTGTCTTGAAGACTTACAACCTGGTGATGTCATAGCCCGTTTACCTTGCCTTTGTATATATCATAAAAAGTAAGTTTGTTATAAATACTAAATATTATTCATTCATATTAAGCGCACTACACAAGCTTTATTTCCTTTCTGTATTAACTTTAAAAGGATACAAATGCCTGTACAAACGTTCTTGTCTTAAAAATTTAATATTCTATTATTCATTAGCAGACTTACAGAACTATTTCAAACTACTGCAAAAACATAGTATTTATGTATTGTCAATCTAGGGTTAACAACAAAATTAATATATTTCAGCTGCATTGATAAATGGTTTCAAGTGAACCGTAGTTGCCCTGAGCACCCTGGGGATTGATTTATACCCATTGAATATGGAAGAGCACAATGCAACTTGTTGCTGACCCAGAAGACTCTCATCTTGATGGGAATAAAATGGGAGGAAACAGCAAAGATTTGAAAAAAGCTAGTCAAGATGGCTGCTAGTCCACTGTGGTGGTTGGTGCGTGTGGTTGTTCGACTGAATGACACATACTCAATTTGAATATGAGAACAGACATTTAATTAAATCCTTGATTATATTACTTGTAAGCAGGGGACTTAAAAATCGCCATAAGATTCAACGACACAATGCTATTACTTATACGTATCTGTAATTAATCTATTAGTGCTCTATAAGCTTATTATCAATTGTACCATATTTATAAATTTTACTTAGTTCTACATCTTGAAGTCGAATTAGAGTTAAGCAAGATGATCTGTATTGTTATTGGTTATTTCACCTTTTTTGGAAAAGGGGGTAGAATGAATGTTAGTCGAAGGGCCTGTATAATAATTAGGCAGCATCTATTTTAAATGAGTTAATTATATTTTTAATGATTTAATTACGAATCTAATGTTTCATTTTTGTTGTCTGTTGGGGAATGAATACAAGAAAGGATATTTTTGATACTTTCATAAAAGGAAGAGTCGGATATATAAAAGTTTTAAGAAATGGACTTTTACTAGTAATGCTGTTGAAGCTCTAACAACAATAAAAGTATACATTTAAATTTCTTTATTAGAACTTAAAGTTTGTGATAAATTTCTTTTACTTTTTTAGAAAATTGACATTCTCCAATTATGGAATGATGTAACTTGCTATTAGTTGAAAGTTAGTTATTTTATAATTAATATCTTTTTTATATGGTAAGCATTAACATAACTCATAGTAGTTTTTGTAACAGAAATAAACATGGTCTGTCAATTTTCCAGTAATATACACGTTGTATATATCTGATTAGACTTGTATTACAGATGGTAAGAAGTCTAATTAAGTGAAAATTTCAAACCAAATACAACTGCAAAAATGAATCAAGCATTCAATATGTTAAATGATATTATGAAATAAATACATAAATTCTGTATTAATAAAACCATTAAATTTACTACTGTTTTTAAAATTATGAATAGTGAATGGTATTGTTATATTTTTGTTTACGAGTAATTTTATTTAAGAATATAAATTTCTACATAATAAATTAATGATGGAAAGACGTTTTAATGGTATAGGTTTCCATATGACATTCACGTTTCTGGGCAATCGTTGATCATCGTGACTCGGTGGGAGCTAATTATTCACGGGGGTTAAGACCCATAATTGGTCGAAGAGGAGAGAAAACAGGATAATCAAGTGTAAGCAAAATAAAATAACATGATGAAGCAAGTCATTGTTGCTGATGTAAACGCACAGAATGAGTAACCATTAGTGGAAATAAAAAGTTTTCTATGTTTCATTATATTATAGAGATGTGTTAGTTATTGATTATGCTTTACAAAAAAATATTACCGAAATTCGTAAAAGTATGTACAAATGTCCCTATCAAAATACAAATATCATTAATCATTTACTTTTCTGTAGTGCACTGAATCATTACCGATAATTTATTTTTGGACGGTTACGTTCATCGAGAGTATACCACTCGTCCGTTATACACACTTTCGTTAAAGGAAAAAAAAATTCCATTGTTTTATTTTATTATATTTTTTATTGCCATTATTTTCAAATAATTCAAAGCGAGTATAATTTCAATGGACGAGGTCTTTTGATTTTTTATTCGTTATCATTGCATGTCTTTCCATTGTCATGTTTTATTTGAAATAATTATCAGCTACGAAAAGGCTATCTACTGTCGGTTATTTTCAGAAATAATTAAAAAGGGAATAATAATTAATGGATTATATTGAGATGTAACAATGAAGAGTGCACCATACTATATCTGACCAGAGTCAAAAGGAATTCTACAGTGCGTATGCGTGACTGAAAGGTAGGAGAACTGGCGAACCCACGGGTTAAAAATTGGTTGACCATGGACTTTCATCAACTGGGTAGCTTAAAATTGTTTTGTCCATGGATTCAGGTTGGGCCCCTCACATTCTTGCATTTACATCCTTGAACATTCTTGATTCAGCAATTGTATCAAGAACAGTGGAGAGAGCAAAAAACAAACAATTCAATTTTTTACGTTAACGCTGGTGGTAGTATTTATTTACATACACAGTACCATAGAAACTTCCTTATACTCTTACATAGTAACATATATATATATATATATATAGTTCATTTCTTTAAAGTATTTATTTTAGTGAGTCACAGATTAAAAGATAATATAAATGTATTGATTTCCACAATTATATCTTTTTTTCAATTTTTAATAGTATCAATTAATTGAAAATCACACACTGATGCTTACAGTTACTAAAATATCACATATCTACAAGTACGTTAATGAACACCTATGCTTGCCATGTCGAGATTCTTTGTAAATTATTATCACTGTAATTGTCATTAATGTTATTATATTTAGAATTACTCTAGTATTTTCAACGAGTAAATAAACACAAGCTATAGAACAAACAATATACGATATGTGCATATAAGTGTGCACTAAATGTATTCATCTCCATGGTATCCAACTTTATAATTTGTTCTCTATATTTTTCAAAGTTTGTCAAGAACGCATCGTATGAGTATGTAGTAATTTGTAAAAAAAATAAAGCAAGTTTTCTTACAAAAATTCAATGTCTATGGAAAAAAAAGTTTATAATTTTTGTATTTGAAATATGACGAAATTATTTGAGATATAATAATTTCAAGAATGGAACGTATATTTCTTAATAAAATAATAACTGTTTATATTCGAAAAATATGACTCGATAATAATTCTATCGTAAGGTATCTAAAGCGCTATACTTTGTAATACTAGGAAAATAAATGACAAAAACAATCGACAAAATTAAAAAGCGTAAGAAACGCGATGTGCAACGCACATTGTATATGCGAATTTAACTTCGGAATATATACTTGGTCATATTTATTTTTTAACTATACACTTAGTTACAACTTTTTTTTATACTTGATATGTATGGTCATGACATTTACTAATATGTTCTGCAATCGTATTTTTCAACAGTTAGTATAAGTATAAAGAACAATTGTATATATATTGTGAAAGTTGACATAATAAATTCAATTTACTTATGGTAGAAAAATTAGAGTCATTTGTAGTTTGCAGTATTTATACTCGTGCAATTTTTACGTATATATGATGTGTTATATTTCTCATTTTTAATGGAATATTTTAGTTTGGTCATACAAAGGAAAGATACTTAACAACCAAAAGATATTAGTTTTCAATTAAAAATTGATGTGATATTTTAATAATGTCAGTCGTGATTAAAGTAAATGCACAGAATATAGTTGGCATGACACATAACCTAGAAATATTTAACTTTCAAAACGAATTGTGGAAAAGGTTTTGATGTCATTATTAAGACGTTTAAAATATCAATGAATTAGTGCAAGTGACAGTAATATAAGCTTCATTTTGTTGAATCTATCCTCTACTTTCGTACTTTATCTATTCGTTTTTCAATAAAACTAACTATTTATTTTATAAGTTTCTATATTTACAAGAAAATTTACGAACAATATAAATCAGTACGCGTTTGATTGTGCATTTCTAGAAGACACGTTTTTAGCAAAATAATTGTGATCGGTGTAAATTCATGTGTAAATATGTTATTATTACTGTGAAAAGTTAAGTTTGATGGTTATATCAAATAATAACCTTGATAAGTTAAAAACAATAATCATATTGAGACAATATTAATGTTCCAAAAAAGCTTTGTTTGTCAAAGGTAACTTAATTACAGTTTTAGCACACTCTTTTTTTTTTAATGTGTATA